ATTTGTTGTGTAGAAAAGGTGTATTCCCCTATGAATATATTGATAATTGGGATAAATTGGATGAAACTGAATTACCAGACAAAAAAGACTTTTATTCAAAATTAACTGATGAAAATGTAGCTGATGAGGATTATCAGCATGCAATGAATGTATGGAGCACATTCAATATCACACTGGGCGAGTATTCGGATCTCTATCTACAGACAGATGTTTTATTGTTGGCTGCCATTTTTGAAAACTTTCGTCGTAATTGCATTTCTACTTATGAATTGGATCCACTCCATTATTATACAGCACCAGGATTAGCTTTCGACGCTATGCTTAAACATACAGGAGTGAATTTAGAGCTTTTGACTGATCCTGAAATGGTATTATTCATAGAAAAAGGTATTAGAGGTGGAGTGTCACAATGTGCAAACAGATATGCTCATGCCAATAATCTATTCATGGGAAAATTTCAAACATAACGATTAAGGGAGAAAAAGAGGGTTAATTAATGGAGAATTTAATTCTCCGTCGAACTGCATTTTTTTCATCCCTTAAACTCAATTAGGAGGGGAGAGGTGAATTTTTAATTCGCGGGCGAATGGTGAATAGTCAGTGTGCGCCGCGAAAAAATCATTTTTCTTACTGGCCCCTGACTTTCGTGGCAGTTTTTAATTTTTTGTTACAGAGATTAAGGGATGAAAGAGGGTTAATTAATGGAGAATTTAATTCTCCGTCGAACTGCTTTTTTTGCATCCCTTAATCTCAATTAGGAGGGGAAAGGTGAATTTTTAATTACCGGGAGTCACTGTGCGCCGCAAAACAATCATTTTTCTTACTGCGCTGTTATTTCCATGACAGTTTCTTCCATTTTTTACAGAGATTAAGGGATGAAAGAGGGTTAGTTGGTGGGGAATTTAATTCTCCGTCGAACTGCTCTTTTTTCATCCCTTAATCTCAATTAGGAGGGGAGAGGTGAATTTTTAATTCGCGGGCGAATGGTGAAAAGTCACTGTGCGCCGAGAAGAAAATCATGTTTCTCACTAGCCCATGACTTTTGTCGTAGTTTTTATTTTTTTGTTACATAGATTAAGGGATGCAACGGGGATCGATTGATGGGGAATTTAATTCTCCATCACACCGTCTGGGTTTCATTCCTTAATATTAATTAGCCAGCAAATGAATCACCTGAAAAACATTAAGAACATGTTGAGGATGAGGAGAGCATAAATTCCCCTTCGAAACTATGGATAGTCCTGTGACAGCGGGACTGCTATATACTGCCGAGTTACCCGCACAGGCAGTTCACCCAGCCGTCAGATTCGACCGTGGCGCCATCCCTCCGTTGGGGTCGAACTATTTTTGGCTTGGGGTCACTTCAACCCCGAGATCTGAGCCTCTACTTTAGTCAATCCTCTTTGCATGAATCGTTGAGTCCATTTTCATTTTCATGGTCCGCTCGATCATTTAAAATATCGAGGATTCATACAAATTCTCGTTTTTATTTATTATAGAATCATTTAAAGAATATTTCGTATAATAATATATTAGACGATTCATGATGTAGAATTTTACAGTTATCGAATAATCTAAATTCCCGTACTCAACACTTTAGATTAAGTCTGATTTCGCAAATACCATGAACCCCATCAATATACATTCGAAAATTTCATACTCTGAACATTTATTGATTCAATTTTTACTTTATGCGCTGTTTACATATACGTAATATTTTAACGATTCCAACACGATAAGTTCTCGATAATCGTTGATTCTGACAAAAACATGGTCCAATTATTCATCACCTCTAACTTTTCACATTTCGAAAAGATACTATTCCGAATTGCACTAACTGTNAATTTTTAATTCGCGGGCGAATGGTGAAAAGTCACTGTGCGCCGAGAAGAAAATCATGTTTCTCACTAGCCCATGACTTTTGTCGTAGTTTTTATTTTTTTGTTACATAGATTAAGGGATGCAACGGGGATCGATTGATGGGGAATTTAATTCTCCATCACACCGTCTGGGTTTCATTCCTTAATATTAATTAGCCAGCAAATGAATCACCTGAAAAACATTAAGAACATGTTGAGGATGAGGAGAGCATAAATTCCCCTTCGAAACTATGGATAGTCCTGTGACAGCGGGACTGCTATATACTGCCGAGTTACCCGCACAGGCAGTTCACCCAGCCGTCAGATTCGACCGTGGCGCCATCCCTCCGTTGGGGTCGAACTATTTTTGGCTTGGGGTCACTTCAACCCCGAGATCTGAGCCTCTACTTTAGTCAATCCTCTTTGCATGAATCGTTGAGTCCATTTTCATTTTCATGGTCCGCTCGATCATTTAAAATATCGAGGATTCATACAAATTCTCGTTTTTATTTATTATAGAATCATTTAAAGAATATTTCGTATAATAATATATTAGACGATTCATGATGTAGAATTTTACAGTTATCGAATAATCTAAATTCCCGTACTCAACACTTTAGATTAAGTCTGATTTCGCAAATACCATGAACCCCATCAATATACATTCGAAAATTTCATACTCTGAACATTTATTGATTCAATTTTTACTTTATGCGCTGTTTACATATACGTAATATTTTAACGATTCCAACACGATAAGTTCTCGATAATCGTTGATTCTGACAAAAACATGGTCCAATTATTCATCACCTCTAACTTTTCACATTTCGAAAAGATACTATTCCGAATTGCACTAACTGTGAATTTTGCATGCTTTGTGACTTTTTAGTTCCTAGGTTTAGCATACACCAACTAATACAGTTTCGGATGACCGTACGCAAGCCTTTTTGGAACTTGGTTTAGAGAAATTGGTTTTGGATTGGTTTCAAGAAATTTTTGTTAATTTTGTTCTAGTAGTCGTCACAACGATGTATAAAAACGATCCTGTAGCGAATTTCTCAAAAATCCTTTTTATCCACGATATTTGTAGAACTAAGACTGAAATACACTGAAAGCGATGAGTTCACGTATGAAAAAATTCAATAGAAAATCTACCGAATTCGCTAGAAAATTCTATTGGAATTCTATGAGGGTTTCTATAGGATTTCTATTGGAATTCTATTGGAAATTTCTATTTTTTTTCTTCGCTGATTCTATTGGATATTCGATAAGAAAAAGTCAATAGATTTTAAATTTCTGTTCAAGTTTTTCTCTTGAGATTTTTTCTATAAGAATGCTTGGGCAACAATTTTCTAAATTTTTTCCACTCGGATTCTACAATGCAAAACAAAACAAAATCCAGCGGAAAAAACTTAGAAAATTTTTTACCCAATAAGTCTAATAGAAAAAATTTAAGAGAATTAATTTAAGAGAAAAATTTTTAAAAAATCGAAATCTATTAATTTTCTTATTGAATATCCAATAGGGCAAACAGGGCAAAAAACAAATAGAATTTTCCAATAGATCTCCAATAGAAATCCTATAGAAAACCCATAGAATTCCAATAGAATTTTCTAGCGAATTCGCTAGGTTTCCAATTGAATTTTTTCATGCGTGTTCGCGAGTCGAATATTTGATCCTGCCAAATACTCCCAAGATTCATTACTCCTCAGGAGTTAGTAGTATTAAATCGGTGCAGATTGGTCTCTTTTTATATTGTTCTCAAGTCCTCAGTAGTACTGAGAACCTGGACTTCTGTACATATACGGTAGTTCTTAGGAGTATAAAGAATCCATACAAAGCCTGAGAAGGCCTGGAGAGGCTTTCATGATTAGGTCCTATAGACCCTTCTCAGTACTCCCCCACCTCACCTGGTTGCTCATCCCTTACCTCATTTGGGTAGTCATCCCCCTCCTCAACTGGTCACGCAATCCTTACTTTTCGAGTCGCATGTACGAAAAAATGGAATAAAAAAACCTAGCACATTTTGAGGAAAATTTTGGTGTATTACTATCGACATTCTTTTGCCAATTGTTTCTAGTCTTTGTTAATTTTATTGAAAAATTCTTCACTTTTTCCGCTTATTCATGGTTGAAAGAACTGTTTAAGGGGAGACCGCTTTAAATTCCACGTGACAAAATGTTTGTTAACAATCACTCGAGATTCATCGGACGGATCTATCATAAAGAAATAAAGTGATAACAACAAGACTAAAAACAATCTGCGCATAGAAAATAATGATGTTGTGAACACTAATAATAAGAGAAATAATAATAATCATACCGAGAGGACGTATGCTATATATCTTGTATATAGAATATTTTGTTGGATAATTTGCGATTTCAGTGTATAATTATTTATTGAACAGTTTTTTAATTCAATATAAAATCCTTTATTCAAAATATTCACTGGCAATGACGTCACTGTGCATTGTTATATAATATAAATACGATAGTAAGTCCATCATCGATCGCTGTACCGGTTGATAATTTTCCTGTAGAGAAAGTAGCTAAGCATGAAGGCACTGTCGAAAAATGCGCTAGAAATCTTCTCTACCTACCTCGTAATGGATGTCGATGTTCTGCATATGCGGAGTGAAAAAATGTTGGTCTTGTAAAACTTCCAAACAATGGTAATTTGAAAGGACGCAACTCTATCATAATACTTTACTCGCAGTTTGCATATTTTTCATCCAGAATTATCGAGATTTTCTCATCATTCCATCATTATAGTACTAAGAGTAGTATGTTCGATCAATTACAAATTTTTTCTGGCAATTGCCTGAAAAACGTTTTCGTTTCCATAGTTCAGTCTCGCGGTAAAACTTGCGAAATATTTCAGCAAGCCGAAACATCTTAAATATTAAGTGAAATATTTTACTCACAAAGGTTTTCGAAACTATTCTTCCGATTGCGCTTATCCAAAATGTTAAGCTTTGATCAGAATATGAAGAAAATTGAAAGATTTAGAAGCACTATAACAATTTAATCAACGTCGTAATTATTTCATCAATATCTTCTGACCCTCTTATCAATAATTGAAAGAATTGTTTTCCAATTTTCACAGATATACATTTCGAAATTCAATAATTGTGAAACTCACTTGCATTCTTCTAAATCTTCTAATTGCTGCACTAATCTGTCTAACTGCTCCTCCAGGTTTCTCTTGAGGCTCTCAGTTTCGACTTTTCCATGGGAACTCATTGTAAACTATAAAAGAACACAAGGTTATGTTTCTAATGAAAAATAAAGGTGAGACACTTACCTGCTAAAGTTTTGCAAAAATTTTGTATTGGGAGATGTTAATCCAGTATTGGGACCGTTAATTACCGATGGCGGCGCTCGTTTTCACCAATATGGACTAAGGTATGATACAAGCAGGTATGATGAAGCCAGAAAACAGGGGACAAGTTCGCCGGAGCGCCAGAAGCGGCGTTCCGGTCGACTTACGCTTCCCCTCATCTCCTTTAGTCTCCCACCACTGGCACTTTTTTTGCTGGAGGGAACGTTATGAAATTGATATTTTAAGTCAAAATAATTAGCCCCGTATGAAATTACATGTACAATGCGAAGAAAAATAAAAAAATGCAAATATATTCTTGGTTTTTCATGTACTATTTCTTTAATAGTCAATGGCCCGCTCACTCTTTCATTAATGGGGTGATTTTTATCTTATAATAGGTGAATTCTTTCTTTTTTTACTGAAAATAATTACCAAGATTGAGAGTGAAATCACTGCTCAATATAATAGCATTAAAAATAAAATGAAAATGCATTTTTGTCCAATGTTGAACAATATTTATTTTTCGCGCGAAAATATCTCGCGAATGTTGTTTGTTTATGTCTGCTCCAAAACGTACTCCAATAGATCTGAACAGTCTGTGCGAGTTGATTCATGTAAAATGATTAAATCGTGTGCAATTATAAATTGCAAAGCATCTTCTAGGGATAATTATCGTTTTTTCTCCCTTCCCAGTGTGAAAAAAATTGAGAAGCGACGACAATGGCTGGAAAAAAGCGGTGATTTGCTATCGAGTGATCAAGTGTCAAAGAACGATTGTTATTTGTGTGAGGTGCGTAAGTGAATAGTTGGGACTTTTTTTTTCTTTTGTGGCTCTTGAAACCCCTTGTACCTCATTTATTTCACCCCTCGTGACCATTATGACCCTCGTATCTTTTTCAAAACTTGTTCATAGAAGAAAACATTAAAAAACATAGTTCAAACTGGGATCCTCATTATCGTAATCCCATCCCTCCAAATTCTTCCCTATTAAGCTTCACTGAAGAGAAGAGGAATAATTAATTAAATGGACTTCTGATGTTAATTATTCTTCCTTCTAATTAGTATTTCAATCGTCTAGTCGACATGACTCTCAGTCAATCTTTATCGCTCGATCCCATAGAACTATTTGCTGAGAATCATATAGTTTTCATCTCAACATTTTTTAATCCTGTTCCTCTCGATTGAACACAAAATTTTATTTTCATCACGCTGTATCGGAGAAGTAACTTTCCGACACATTGTGATGAAAAATTTTGTTCATAACTCGTGAAAAAAGTGGTTTTTGGCTCGTGAAATTATATCACTCACCTTCGGCCCGTGTTATAAACCTCCCACTCGCCAAAAACCACTTTTTTGCACTCGTTACGAAATATACTATTTCTCTCTCATAAAAAAAAAAATTGATTTGACGGGGATTTGAACTCGCGACGCAAGTAAAATCGGCGTGTGATGGGAGATCTAATCCGCGGGAGGGGAAGGGACGCAAGAGCGCCGCGCGCGGCTTCCGTTGGAACTTGTCCCCTGTTTCGGTGTCGGCGACATGAAAGCTTCACCATACCTCCCTGTATCATACCTTAATATGGACGATTTTAGGCTTCCCATATACACGCTACCACAAGCCCAAATTCGGTTGCATACTGTCTGTGTGCAGCCCAATATCCGCCATTCATAGGTGGCGTTTTGAAGCGTTTTCAATTAAATGTTGATGAGAATTAAATGTAAGCGTTTTTGTGATACATAAAAAAAATGTGCAGGTGGCAGTATCTCATACAGCGTAATTTTACGTGGATACAGAGATTATAGGGGAGATGAACAGGGCCAATGTAAAGTGTTCAACAAAAAAAATCGTAGCGGTGGCGCATGGACTACGATGGAGCGTACGGAACTGTTGGTATGATAGGGCCCGAGCATAAATTTGTCGATAACCGGAAAGGGGTTCTCAATACGGTAGCTCCTCGCATTTTGTAATAATTGTCAGGAATGTAAAATCGAACATATTATAATCAATAGTATAATGAATGCACAATCTAATGATCTAAAAGTCTTTTCCTTTTTCTCGACATATTTAT